CCCACCCCCGGTCCCGGTTCCCCACCCCCGGTCCCGGTTCGGTCTCAGTTCCCCACTCCCGGTCCCGGTTCGGTCCCGGTTCCCCACCCCCGGTCTCGGTCCGGTCCCGGTTCCCCACTCCCGGTCCCGGTTCGGTCTCAGTTCCCCACTCCCGGTCTCGGTTCCCCACCCCCGGTCCCGGTCCGGTCCCGCTCACCGTCGCGGCCCCAGATGCGCACGGTGCGGTCGCCGCCGCAGGACGCGAGCAGGGCCCCGCTGGGGCTCCAGGCCAGGGCCCAGCAGCGGGACTCGGGGTGAGCGGACACCCGGCACAGCAGCGACAGCGCCTCGGGCATGGCGGCACCGGAACCGGAACCGGGACCGAGCCGGAACCCGAACCAAACCGGAAGCGGAACAAAACCGGAAGAGGAAGTGCGGCGGGGCGGGGCCGCTGAGCAGGGCCCGGAGCCGCTGCCGGGGCCCGGGCCGGGATCGGGCGCTGCGGCCGCGGACGGCGCTGCCGGGCCGGGATCGGGATCGGCACCGGCACCGGGCCGGTGTCACGGGGGGTTCGGAGCGCGTGCCGGGGCTCGGAGCGACCGGGGCGGGTGTGGGGGATCCCGGAGCCGGTACCGGGGACCCGGGGAGGGTGCTGGGAGTCCGGAGCCGGTACCGGCTATCCCGGGGCGGGTGTCGGGAGTCCCAGAGTAGGTGCTGGTGACCCGGAGTCGGTTCCGGTGATCCCGAGGCGGGGTGTCGGGGGTCCAAGAGCCGGTACCGGGGCGGGTGTCGCTGACCCGGTGCCGGTTATCCTGTAGCCGGTACCGGTAACCGGGAGCAGGTGTCTCTGTCCCGGTCCCGGTGACCCGGGTGTCTCTGTCCCGGTCCCGGCTGCCTGTGTCCCCCTACCCCCGCCTCTCCGGTGCTCCCAGTGCTCCCGGTCCCATTCCTGGTGCCATTGCCAGTTCTATTCCCGTTCCCCTTCCCGGTTCCCGTTGCGGTCGCGGTTCCTGTTCCCGTCCCCGTTGCGGTCGCGGTTCCCGGTTCCCGGTGCCGTTCCGGTTCCCGTTCTCGGTTCCCGTTGCGGTCGCGGTTCCCGGTTCTCGGTTCCCGTTGCGGTCGCGGTTCCCGGTCCCCGTTGCCGTTCCCGGTTCCCGTTGCGGTCGCGGTTCCCGTCCCCATTCCCGTTCCCCGTTCCCATTCCCGTCCCCGTCCCCCGTCCCCGTTCCCGGTTCCCCATTCCCATTCCCCGTCCCCGTTCCCCCTTCCCGTTCCCGGTTCCCCGGTTCCCCGTTGCCGGTATGTACGCGGCGGGCGGGGCGGCGGGCTCTCGGCGGCGGCGGGGCGCGGCGGCGGCGGCGGGGCTGCCCAAGCAGGCGGAGCGCAGCCTGGCGTCGGCGCTGCCCGGGGCTCTCGCCATCACCGCGCTCTGCACCGCGCTGGCCGAGCCCGCCTGGCTGCGCATCCACGGCGGCACCTGCGCCCGCCAGGAGCTCGGCGTGGCCGACGTGCTGGGCTTCGTGCAGCCCGAGCTGCTGCGGGGTGAGCGCCGCCCCTGCCCGACCTCCCGCGACCCCACAGGACCTTATAGGACCTTATAGAACCTTGCAGGACCTTATGGAACCTCATAGGACCTTATAGGACCTTACAGAACCTTATAGAACCTTACAGGGCCTTATAGGACCTTATAGAACCTTACAGGACCTTACAGAACTTTATAGAACCTTACAGGACCTTACAGAATCCTACAGAATCCTGTCCCCCCTTGTTCACCCCCACCATCCCCAGGGCTCCTCCCTAATTAACGCCTGACCCCTAATTAATGACTCACCCCTAATTAACGATTCACCCCTAATTAACGATTCACCCCTAATTAACGACTCACCCCTAATTAACTCACCAATTACTCCTTGTGTTGGTGTTTAAAGCTTTCCGGGGAATGTTTGGGAGAATTCCCCCAAAATTCCCAAAATTCCACCAAAAAATTTCCCCAAAATTACCCCAAAATTACCCCAAAATTTCCCCCAAAATTCCCCCAAAATTCTCAAAAATTTCCCCCAAAATTTCCCCTTTTCCACCCAAAATTCCATTTCCTGTCGGCATCCAGGAGGGATTTAAGGACCTGGGGCAGAGATTTTGGGTGGAAAAAGGGAATTTAACGGTGGAAATGTGGAATTTTATGGTGGAAAAAGAGAATTTATAGTGGAAAACCGAATTTTATCGTGGAAAAAGAGAATTTTTGGGTGGAAAGTGGAATTTTTTGGGTGGAAAATGGAATTTTTTGGGTGGAAAATGGAATTTTTTGGGTGGAAAAGCAGAATTTTGGGGGGGGAAATTGGAATTTTTTGAGGCTTTGGGGGGAGTGGATTTCCTGTGGGAAAAGCGGATTTTTTGGGGGGGAGGTTTTGGTGAAAAAACAGAATTTTTTTTGGGTGCAAAAGCGGATTTTTGGGGGGATTTTGTGGAGTTTTTTTGGTGGAAAATCAGATTATTTGGGCAGGAAATTGGATATTTTTGATAGAAAAGTGGATTTTTATGGGATTTTTTATGGGTGGAAAAGCAGAATTTTTGGGGCAATTTTTAGGGCAGAGAAG